GTTAGTGATGGCATACGAATTGACATAACCTTTGAAAGCAGATTGTTCGTTGGTGGTGGTTGCTTTGTATCTCATTTGAATGCCTGTGAGTGCTTTGTTCTTGTCCAGATTGACCCATCTAATGCCTCTCTTCTCTTTCAGTTCATACTTTTTGTAGTCCATAGTCTGCCTAATCTTGTTGAATTTTGTTATCAACCTCTTTGAAATGGGTTTCCCCCTTTCAAAGTTGTAGGTCTTGTCTCCAATCTTAAGTTTCTTGAGTTCTTCTCCATTCCGTTTCAATATCTCACCCTTTTCGGATGATAAAAGGTAATCTAAAACAATCTGCTGTGAAGTGTCCATTATAGTATAATCTATATTATTATAATCTTCTGTTTCTTTAAGTAGTTTTTCAGTGTGAATTGTTTGTTGAGGATGTTGCGGATGATTGGATTGTTGGTGGATTGAGTTTTGAGATAAATTTTCATTGTTTAACCTTACACCCTCTCCATCCCTCTCCCATATTCTCCTTAATATATAAAACATCCTTTCTTTAAGTAGTTTTTGGGCTCTCGTTCAGTTTTTAGGTCATTGGGTTCTGGGTTGAAGTCCAACGTGAGGACACCGTCGTTTGACTTGATAAATTGTTTTAAAGAAATGGCAACTTATGGTAAATATAGGTTTAAATAGGTATGAAAACGGAAAGATTTACAAAATTACAGATGTTGGATATAATAAATGCTATATTGGGAGCACCTGTGAAAGTTCGAGTAAAAGAATGGAAAGACATAGAACACAATATAAGGAATACATCAAAGGGAGGATGAAAAAGAAGACAACCGCAATAGATATATTCAATGAATTGGGTATTGAGAATTGTACGATTGAACTGATTGAGAACTACCCGTGTCAAAGTAAGGAAGAATTGTTCAAAAGAGAAGGGGGACATCAAAGCAACAGAATGTGTCAATAGACAGATTGCAGGTAGGACGCAACAGGAGTGGAAACTGGACAATCCAGAGCAAGCGAGAGAATACTATGAAAGAGGCAAGGCACGTGCCAGAGCATACTATCACAAACATAAAGAGGAAATAATAGAAAAACGCCGTTTGAATGAAGAGAAAATAATAGAACAACGCCTTTTGAAGGTTGAATGTCCGTTTTGTAAGCGTTGAATTTTTCAATACTATGCTCTATGGCATCAAAAGAACAACTGTGTCAAACAAACGGGAATGGACAATGAATAGATAAAACATTTTGATTAACAAAGCGTTGTTAATGAGAAGGTTTTATTTTTAGTGTCGTCTGCTGTTCATACATCTGTTGGTTTGACGGTGTTTTGATAGATTGGATTTGCTTGTGATGGTTCGTCCGCAGTCTGGACAGGTGAAAGGGGTTGATAATTTCTTTTGATAATACTTTGAAAAATAATTGGGGTCTAATGGTTTCTTGTCATAAGTTCCGTCGGGTTTATAACGACTTCTTGAAGTCGTTAAAATCGCCTCTGGCGGTTTCCATCTTGTGGATGTTGTGGTTGTTGGATTTTGAGGGTTGCTGGATCGGTGTAGTGTTTCCGCCATTTGGTCAAAAAGGTCTTCGTCCATTTCTTGTTTCATACCGTTTATATACATATAGCAGGGCATATTCAATTTTTGATTCTATAAGGCGTCATTTTTTTAAGTGTTTTTGGGTCTGTTGCTCTAAAAATTGTGTTTTTAACAAGTGTCCTAAATTGATGTTTTTTGAACGCTAAAACGATGGTTTTAGGACACTTGTTGAAGTAAGGATTTTTTGTCTTCAAAAGTTCAGGGTGAAACGATTTGTCCGTGTTTGATGGTTTGGCTATAAAAGTTGAGGGTGAAACGATTTGTCCGTGTTTCATGCTTTTGTCAAAAGTTGAGGGTGAAACGATTTGTCCGTGTTTGATGGTTTGGCTAAAAAAGTTCAGGGTGAAACGATTTGTCGGTTGTTGCTTGTTCGGTGAATGATTGATACTCGGTTCTGGGTATCGTTGATACTTGGATACTGGTATCATGGTATCATTGATACTCGGTTCTGGGTATCGTTGATACTTGGATACTGGTATCAGGGTATCATTGATACTTGGTTCTGGGTATCGTTGATACTTGGATATTGGTATCTGGGTATCATTGATACTCGGTTTGGGGTATCATTGATACTCGGTTATGGGTATCATTGATACTCGGTTCTGGGTATCATTGATACTTGGATACTGGTATCAGGGTATCATTGATATTAGGTTTGGGGTATCATTGATACTCGGTTCTGGGTATCGTTGATACTTGGATACTGGTATCTGGGTATCATTGATACTAGGCTCTGGGTATCGTTGATACTTAGATACTGGTATCTGGGTATCATTGATACTAGGGTTGGGTATCTGCGGTTATGCATGCAATACGTGAAAATTACCCTTGGATGACTCACCCACAAAACATCTCAAGCGTCACAGTTTTTTTCACCGGCGAAGCTCACATGTATCCTGCATCCCTCAACTTCTGCTCATCCTCTTGAAAGAGCTTGGCGACGAAATGCCAATGCTTCAAAGCCACCCTTAAATTGGTTGTTCTCCTCAGGACGCAGTCTGCTGGCTCCTCACGAAGAAGCTTCAACTTCATTTCGGTCTCCTCGTCGCTCTCTGGGAGATACCCCATGGGCCCTGCCTCTGCCACCTTGAGGAGATAGTCCTTCACTTCCTGGTCATCCAATTTCCTTTGAATTGGTTTCACCCTCTCCTTGTACCACTGCTCAACCTGCTTGATGACCGCATCCACACCTTTCTGACCTTCTCTGGAGACGTTTCGCAGTATCAAGTCCAAGTCGCGGAAGCTGCCCCCTGTGCGGATGTAGTAGTGCTTCAACACCTCGTCCATGTCATCTTCGGCAAGAACCTTGTTCAGCGTCCGGAAGTCGTTTCCCTGCTTTGCCACCTCCTTGACCACAGATGTGAAGTCTTCGAAAGGCAGCGGTCGCACCACCACCAAATCTGACATGTTAAACCTTTCGGTGATGATGTCGGCCACGGCAGACACGCTGACCTCCAAAATGAACTTGCACGCGGCATTGTCGTAGGTGATGTTGCGAGCGCAGGCACCGAGGGTGGAAGCAATGTCATCACAGGCATCCCTACTAAATTTGTTTCCGCGGCTTTTGGTTGTGAGTTGCAGGTATACCACGACAGCACTGCCTGTTCGGCGCTTGCACGTCTCGTTCACCTTTTCCAGCATATACTCCACTTGTTCTGGGTAGTATCGCGGCAAATTTACTGCTTGCAATGCTTTGGGCAGCGCTTCATTGAGTTTCAAGTCCTCACCAGGACGAACAGAAATATCAAGAGGAAGCACCCTTTTGCCATTCTTCACATGCTCACTCAGGAGATTGTTCAGCATGGTTGATTTCCCAATGCCTTGGGAACCACTGACCACCAAGAAGGAAGGGGTGCTCAAAGCTTCACCTTGAGGTGAATTGATGAAGTCCTTGATGTATTCCTCCTCGAGAGGCCGTGCAGGGGCGGGCTCTTTCCTTTTCAGCCTTTGCCCAGCCTTCCTCACTGCCCTGTTCATGAAGAAGACAGGAAGGAACCTTTGAATGAGAGCTTGGAGAACCAGCACTACGATGCTCCCTCTGCTCAACAACGTCCAACCAGTTTTAACGGTCTGCGCCGGAAAAGCCCTTGCGGGCTGTGTTCGTGCATGACCGCTTGGAAGGACGAACCGGCCTGGCGCAAGCTCAACCTGCCTCACAAAGATGCATCTGCGGAATGTCGAAGAAAAGGGACAATACATCGGTTCAGTCAATTTGTGCCAAACTGGCTTTGGTATTGAAGGATGCTTGATATGCAAAACCAAACAGGAACCACAGCGCCTAACCTCAATCAATACATGAATTTGAAGCAAATAATTCGACATCTTTGAACAACAGCTTGGTAGAATTTGAACCTGAACCTACACATAGAAACTCTGACCACCTCAACAATTATCCCCTTCATTCAATCCAAACATTATCACAACAACCTCAACAACACATTTAGCAAGATAATCAAAAAGAAACAGTCAAACATTTAGATTTACAACATTGAACAAAAACATAACAGCCTCCCACCTGACCTCCAACCTGTCTTGTCCTAGCATCCCTGTTTTACCATTTTTTTCTGGGGCTTTGGAAGTGAACTCTCGACTACCAGATCTCAACTGCTTGGGGAGGTTGTAACATGTTGTAACACCCAAACTGCCCCCAATTCTTTTCCGAAAACAAAGCTTATCGGCTTATCGAATTGCATCTGTGCCAATGTCTCTATGGTTGCTGACTTACGCCCCGCCTGCAGGGTCTGTCTGGAGGATGGCGTCAAACCTCTCAGATCCAGAATGCCGCTAGCCACATCCTTGGCACCATTTGACCATGATAGCCGGTGCAAATGGGAGGGAATGCTGGATCTGTGAAGTGTTGCTGTCTCCCAAGTACAGTGTCTGACTGCATGTGCTGCCATGAAATCCATAGCTATGCAGGACCGCGGTTGCTCCAAATCACTGCTAGGACAGAGAGTAATGCTTAGGTGCAGCACTTCAAGAGGCTGTTTTAAGTCTCTGAGGTGCGAACTAGAACAACCTGGCAAGAGTGACCCAACGTTTGTTGTTGCCCACAAGAGCAAGTGAGGGATTTTAGGAACTTGATCATTTGATCACCATTTGGACTGGAATTTCTGCTCCCCATGTTTGTGATTACCATTTCAACTGCAATTGGAAGGTGGGAACAGCGCATGTTTTCACATGCTCAGTTTCACGTGCAATCCCTGGCAGCAATCCATCCACACATACTGTCAGACTGTCATGGCTTGGTACAATGGATTGTGAGAGAACTACATGGATTGCCCTGAGCAACTGCCTTCATTTTCTTTGCCCTGCCAACTGACTTGTATCAGTTCCAATTCAGAACAAAAAAACAGAACTAGAAACTAGGACTCTTGAGCAAGTTTCTTCATGAAATCTCTGCTACTAGTGCCTTTACAGCTCAAGTGTTTTCTCTTTGGAGTCAAATCTTCGGGCCTTGTCTTCCTCTACACCCAGCACGTCATACAGGAACTGCTCTGGCAAAGTCAGGTCCTTCACCGAGGTGCAATACCTTGGTGGCACCGCGTTAGGATCCTCATAAAACAGGGTACTAGACCAGCATACAAATCAAACCCCCAGGTTGGTTTATCATCATTTTCCCCACTGCAAAATAGCCATTTTCAGCTTTGTTAGAGTGGATACAGGACTTGATGACACAGGCCAAGTTGCCGAATTCTCTTCAGGACCTCAGCCAATTGTCATCAACCAGCCAGCAACAGCCCCACGAACAGCCCCCACGACAAGCCAAATTTCATCACCAAGGTACGACGTTGTTGAACAGGTTATTCAAAACGGCGAAAAGGAAGAGCGCGTGCGCGAAAACCCACGGAATCTCGTCGCGAGCTGGGTCTGGACACTTGAAAAAATATGTGTTGATACGTAAAAAGATCTTTTGTCAATCACAAATTGTCTCCTCTTCCTCTTCTCCTCCTGCAGAAATCATCATCATCATCATCATCATCAGTTTTGCCATCCGTTGCTCGCTTCATTATGGGCCCTATGGAGAAAACATCTAGATTCTTGTCAGACCCTGGATCGAAGAATGATCCCATTGGGCCACAGAGAATGCCAGCGCCTCCACAACTCCTCCAGGCATTGAGTTCAGCAAGACTACCCTCAGCACACAAACCCGGCATGGATGGAGAACCCCACGTGCAGCTGGGACATGATGAGACCCGTTTCATTGATGGAAGCTCAGGCCATCCCCTATGGCTGCTAGACATTGGAAACGTCTCCACATGTTTGAAGCAACTTGCCCAAACATATGTCGCAGAACAGCCTCGAGAGCTTTTCTGAGACTGACCACCCCATGTACTTTGGACCGGGGAATAGGAAGGAACTAAAGCTTGTCGTTGAAATAAAATGACCCTCTATCTCTCACCCAGCCACCAGCTTCTTTCCGTAGCACACCATGAAAGTTAAACCAAGGAATCAAGAAGCAGCCAGTCTTCCAATTTCAATCAGAGCGTCGCTCCAGACTTCAACAAGAAGCCTGCCAGTAAGACCATTTGGCCTAGCATACCTTAGATGTTTAGACATTCCAGCCATTGAATGGGTTGTTTGCTTCAGGGTTTATATCAAACATGACTTCACAAATACTATCACATATATACAGTTATAGTCAGTATTTGTATAATATATACGGTACATAAATACAATGTCTTTTTTGACAGACATGATCCCTTCCTCGGACGTCTCCATCAACTGCTGCGAAGAACATGTCTTCCAGGCATCATAACCGCACAACACCGCTACAAGGCACTCCAAAGCTCCAGTTTCAGCAGCACCTGAGAGGAATGTGCAGTTGGATCCCCTGTTTTGAATCCGTGTGTCAGCCAGTTGAAAGATGTCAACCACTTTGGCGGGTCAGAAAAAATCCAGGAAGACCACTCTGAATATTCTGAATGGATGGCACTAGGAATAGCACCATCTGTAGAGTCCAGAAATTTTAGGATGTCTGTCTTGACTTGAGTATCTGCATAGAATCGACCACTATCTGCCACAAATCTTTGAGAGAAATCTGAACGGCCGGAGGTTTGCAGCCCAAGTTCTGTTACCTGTTACCTATTACACAGCTGCGTGAAAAAGCCCGGTAAACTGACCAAGGTCAGCACGGTCTTGTCTCGGGCATCAAACGGCACCACATCACTGACGAACAAGCTGTACAGGCAGTACAGAGAGAGGAGCCCTTGGCTGCTCAGCTGGTCCAATCTGCTGTTCGTGATCTGGAAACCACCAAAGGACTTGGGAGATTGGCTTGAGCGAGGTTGACCCCTTTAAGGATGTTTAAGGATGTTTAAGGTAGGAGAAATGACTCACAAATCCCAGGTAGAAACTCTGCAGCCTCCTGGTTTCCCAGACCTGGACGCGCAACGCGTCCATTTCGCCAGGCAACAAGTCACTCGGAAGATCATGGGGATGAAATGCATGTTCGCCAAGACCAAGCTGAAAACCTCAATTTTGCACCGGATCTTGAGATGAAAGAAGTGACTACAGTGACTACATAGATTAGATGAGTCTACATGGATCCAAAATTACCAAAGTGACCCAAATGGAACGGATCAGTTCAAATTGTTTGCGACATATGCACCACATGGACATAGAAAAATTGAAGTGGAGACCTCTTTCTGGCATTCGTTTTTTCTCGGAGCTGACCAATGCTTCTATCACCTTTCTCACCAACTCTTTGTCCTAGAAAACTGTTTGAAGTGCTTCAACAAATGGCTATAAATCAAAACTCTCGCACCCTGGTGAACATCAAAATCGCCAAACACAGGTTCTTCGGCCAAATCAGCAAGTCACCATGAGGAACATGATGATAATCTGGATGTAGAGGTAGTCGCTACTGGAATCGAGCGGGGCAGTGCAGGAAAGCAAATGGAATCGAGGATGG